GTATTAACTTCAAACGATCAGGACTTAAGACCTTATTGGAACGAGCAAGTCGCGGAATGGTCTCGGAAGTTGTGGTTACCCACTGTGATCGACTCTGTCGGTTTGCCTTTGACCTTATCCAATACATATTCTCACTTCACACTACGAAACTCGTGGTTCTTTTCGACGATTCAACAACCGACGAACATGAACTATCCGAAGATATCCTTGCCATTAACACCGTCTTCATCTGCAGAATGCAAGGAAGAAGAGCTGCACAACATCGAAGAGAAAGAAAAGAAAAGAAGAAAGGTCTCGACGATGAGAAAAACAAAAAAAAGAAAAATAGACGAAAGTGTGAACAGGACGCTGAATGTAAGATTGTACCCGAATCATGCTCAAAAACGATTGCTGAAGCGATGGATGGGATTAATGAGATTAATCTATAACACAGTGGTTGCCCACCTCAAACCACGCATTCAAGTGCAGGTGCAACCGAATCTGCAAGGGCAACTGAATTTATCAGAGCAAATAACAAAAACACCCACCCGACTTTATCTCAACTGTTCAAGTACCCAATACCTTCGTTATCTCGTGTACGTCATGCTTAAGCTCAAAGGTGTCTATGAAGAGATCCCCAATAACATCATCGACGAAACAGTAGACGAGGCGATAAAGAACTATAATCAGAAAGATAAAAATTCCACGTTAAAATTCAAGTCAAAGAAGGATCTCGCGCACACCATTAGCATCCGATCGCAAAATTTTTCAGGAAGGGATTGGAATCACTTCTATGTGTCATACCTACACAACCGATCGATGCGCATGTGCATGCCAAGAAAGAAACCCTGCATTATCACACAAAACAAGAGAGACCTACGACCTTTACACTTCGAAACCCAACGAAAACATAACAAATGGCCATTTAAAAAAATCAATTGTGATTGCAAGGTTACTTATTGTCGAAAAACGAATGATTGGATCCTATCATGGGTTCATGAAAGACCAAAATGGAATAGGGAAGCTCGTGAAAAGTTCGTAGCCATTGATCCTGGGGTGCGAACCCCGTTTGTCATGTACTCACCTACTGAAGGTGTAACAGAAATTGGAAAGAATAATGCACAGAGATTAGTTCGATTAGGGTTACATGCCGACAGGTTAAGTTCCCAGAGAGATCTTTTAAACAATTCTACATCAAAGCGAAAAAAAAGAATGGCAAAAAGATTGGATGGCGCGATCGCGAGAATCTTTCGAAAGATCAGGAATCTACGTAACGAGCTTCACAAGAAAACAGTGAATTACCTGATCCAAAATTACGATGTCGTGATTATACCTAAATTCAATGTAAAGAATATGGTAAAACGAGATCGACGAAAAATCAATTCGAAAGTGGTTCGGAGTATGCTTACCTGGTCACATTATGCATTCCGGCAGCGGCTAAAACACAAGGCCGAGGAAATAGGCGTGACAGTAATCATCCAGAATGAGGCGTACACCTCCAAGACCTGCAGCTATTGTGGGAACATACAAAACATCGGCGGAAGAAGAGTTTATAAATGCGGAAACTGTCATATGGTTATGGACAGGGACGTAAACGGAGCCCGCGGGATCTTCCTACGGGCGTTGCTTGATGGAGCCATCCACATGTGGATGTAGGAATTGATGATCCTTACTTAGCAATGACTAGTAATGATTATCAATGATGTGTTACAATCCATCCGTATCAGTTATATCACGATGTGGCACTATCCCACAATAATGACCTTAACATTTTGGGCCTTATCGAAGATTTGACTTTGATTAGCAGCCAGTCTTGATGATAATAATGTGAACTTTTTTTTTTATAAAAATCATTGCGTTGTTACAGTAAATGAAGGGGAGCCTTGATAAAATGTAAAGATTGTAAAGTTTGCGTTCGGCCTATTCAATTCACGATAGATTTAACGCGGCCCCATGGCCAAATTAACCCTTCTCTTTGAAAAATACCATTCAATAAAAAAAAAAAAATCTATTTCATGTTTATCATGTGAAAAATGGTGTTTATTTAAAAAGTGAATAGTTGTGTGGATGACATGAATAAATAAAGTCCTCGTGTGATTAATCGGTCGCCCTGATAAAGAAATACGTGAACAGTGACCTTCGTGATTCTTATTAGATGTACAAATATCTTCTTTTTTTTTTTTAAAAAAAAAGAAAAGAAAAGAAAAAATGCATTTATTTCCACATTATATAATTAACTTTAAATTATGGGTAGAGATTTATATACATGCGAGGGTAATAGAATATGTTAAATGCGTTACAAGTATCGGACTTCATCAATGCCTAGACTTCTTCTCACTTGCACTATAGCCACCAACTCTTTTATAGCTTCTTCTAGGATAACCACATTATTCAGAAGTGTACTCAACGAAATCTCCTTGGGTTTTGATTCCTTTGTTTTTGTTCTTGTTTGCTTTCTGGGAGCATCATCTTCTTCATCGTCAAGTGGATCGGTCGGATCTTCCTCCTCGTCGGCATTGACAAAGTGGGTAGGAAAGAGAGGCTGAATTTTGATGTTTTCAGTCTCTTGGAAATGTGCCGGAAGTGGGCTGACGTATAAGGTCGTATTGGATGGTGGATTTGACGCGGAGTCAGCCCGTGCTCTTCTACTTTTTTGAGATGGTGATGTGTTTGACCGATTCCTTACATTGGAGTTAGGTGGATGATTAGCTTTTTTGGCAGGTTGTCTGAAGAAATTTTCATCAATCCCATCATCTGCATCCAATAGCTTGTTCCGTCTTTCTACAAGGTATTGGTTGAACCCATCAATTTCACTGCGATAATAATCAACTTGCTGCGTCAATGTCTTAAAGATTGTGAAAAAAGGTGGGAAGTTAGTCCACATCGGCGTCGCTCCAATTGCCTTTGTAGCAGATGGGCTCTTGTCGGCGTCAAAATCAATAGATCGATCATCGTTTTCATCAAAATCGTTAATCGGCTTGCTATCTCCGTCGTTTATATGACCATCGTGACTTGCGATGCCAATCGACAATTCTAAACTTTTCGCTTCGTTTTGAAGGCTTTCGAAATCCTTCAAGTTTGAGTCTCGTCGATTGTCTTTATCCAGTCTGTCGGTACCACTGAACACAAGCCAACCTTCTAGGGATCGATAGGGACACACGGCCAAGGCCGAGAGAACTCGAGTCAAGGTTAGGTTTAATTCAGGGGAGTGGGCAAAGAAGTTTGATAGTGTCCCAAGGAGAATTTGCAAGAGTGACTCGTTAGGATTTACACGGTCCGTGGGATTAAGACGGTGTCTTCTAACACCGGACATTCCCCTATAATTACCCTTCTTTAATAGACGTCGTCCATTCGATTTGTTTGTTTTTGGTCTGATCGGCCCATCTTCGGTCCACTCTACATCCAGACCATTTATGTAACACACGTCGGCCTCAATGATCATTTCGGCATCGCGAACGTACGATTCATATCCATTTGTAAAAACGTCCATGTTCTTGGTTGGATCTATTGCGGAGACCAAAGAGAAAAAAAGATCCAATTCTTTCAGGTGATGACTGATCGTTGTCTTTTTGTTATGGTGTAGGCTACCGTGTGGGTCAATGCCGTAGGATTCATCAAAAAGATAGTTTGGCCTTGGAAAGCACGTAGCGTTCTCATCCAACTCAATGTTTAATAATTTCAAGGAGTAACGACAATGTTTGGAAATGACCGTGTGGAGAAGTTTCAACGTTGCAATGACAGTTTGTTCGGAGGATGATCGTAATCGCGAGAAAATAAGGTCCTTGAGGGTGAACCGACCCTCGGCTGTGAAGTAAGGAGAAGACTTTATGGGGCTGGCCTCGATACCCTCAAAGAGATTTATGGTGCTTTGACGTTTTGCCATTTTGTTAACGGCAGCCTGTTTCCAGAATTCCTCATCATCTCCATCCGAGTCCATCAAGAATCCCACTACCATGTCAACCAAATCCTCCTGGCTCAGCGTTTGCATGATGATATCGATATACGAAATGACTGCGACGGCCGAACCATCCTTATCCGAGCATTCCAAAATTGATGGGTACAAAATGTTTTTGAGAAAATGAGTCTTCACATTTTGAAGCAACGCCAAAGAGATATCCACGTTGGGACATATGTTTAACACATCCTGACAGAATTCCATCAATTTCAAAAATGAATCAAGCTGATTTATGAATTCGGGCGACGAAGACACCTGAATATTGTTAGCGCGCAATCCTTCAAGTTCGTCGCTCGCGATGTCACCGAAACCAAGAAGAGTGGCATTCGTTAATCCACCGCCTGAACTCTTGACCATCAACTTTCGTGGTAGCTGCGAATAAAGTGCGCCCAGTCCGGCGGCCATGATCGTCGCAAAATCACTTTCAATGATAAAATCGCCTAATGCGTCTTCCGCAAGCTCGATAATAAAGAGCAAACCGTACCTTGCGTATTCGCCACTTCTACCTTCCTTATGAAGGAATTTAAGCAAATATGTGAAAAGTAAAAATTCGTATTCTGGCTTCTCCGAATCTTCGGTAAATTCGGTTGTCTTGGTGGGCGCAGAGGACGCACAATTTTCTGGTAGAGCGCTTTCTTCCTGGTTTCCATCATGATCGCCATTTGACGAAGAACTTTCGGATTCTTTTCTCAAGTAGGCCTTCTGCGGTGTTGTGAGCCAGTGGGTGTCATGAAAGAAGATGTTCAAGAGCGCAGGAAATGAATGAATCTTGGAACAAATATGATACATCAAATCAACTAGCTCTTCGTCATATTTATCGCCTGGGTCATCGTGAATGTCGTGGACGCACATACGCAAGAGGGAGACGGTTGGCTGGTGCACAGCATTGTGAACCAAGAATCGATCATCCAAGAGGTCGATCATGGAACCAAACGTTCGAATGATCTCACCGCGAATACCCTTTGGAACATCAATTTCCGCATAATTAACCAATTCATCAAGGATCTTGTTTCTTAAGAATTCCTCCATGCAGAGACCGGTGTTCACGTCTTCGAGTCGTAAACCTTCATCGACGAGAAGGTCAATCATTTGTCTAAGATGATGAGGAACATCAGCATAATTGCTACCCTCATTTTCAAATTGCGCCTGCCGTTTTTGTTTCGACAACTCGGTCAGTTAGCTGTGTCAAGCAAGTAAAATATTGCACGCATTCTCAACTCACCCTTATGTAGTCCCATGATTTGCGGAACTTTGCTAGATGTTCAGCGGGAGTAGGCTGTGCCCGTTGAGGCGCAATCCTACTCCTCAAATTCTTAAAATAATCCATGCACTCTTCAACGTTTTACGCTAAGGAGCGAAAGACGTGGTAAAAAAAAAAAAAAGGAAAAAAAAAAAAGCCTCCTTTTACAGTAATGTGATTTTTCGTTTGATTATGGTAAGTACATTCTAAATGGTCACATCCAATTGGATGACGTTGTGCATAAAAAAAATTTTCATAAAAGATCGATCAGTGTAAAATATCATCTTCCTCCTCTTTGAAAATTGACAATGACCAAAGGATTGTAAGTCAAATTTTTGTTGTCGAGACCAATTATGGACTTGCCTCGATCTGAAAAAGAAATGATGACACAAACTCTTCCCCTTATGCAATAGAACTGTCGCTACGGCTGAGCATATCCGTGTTCCCGAGACCCTCTTGAAAAAGAGGAAAGATCAGGAAAGGATTGCGTCAGAGAAAGCAGCCGCTCTTGTAGAAAAACGAAAGGTACTTGGTTATTTAGGAAAAAATTCAGCGAAATATAATTTTCAGGAAACTTGGATAAAAGAAATTGATTGTTTAAATGATGAACGAGGGAATCGTCCCTTTTAATTGAATCTAGCTATAGAGATGTTGAATTCACAAATACCATCTTTCGGGACTGATAAACATCAACATTCAAAAAACGGATAATTATAAATTTTTAAATTCATTGTGAAATTCGCGTAATTGATCTACCGTCAAAATTTGAATTGTAAGGCCGTCAAGAAGACCCGCCGCGTAATCTTCAAGCGCGCAGAAGCGTACGTCAGAGAATACATTGCTGCCGAACGTCAAGAGGTCCGTGCGCGTCGTCAAGCGAAAGCGAAGGGTAATTATTATGTTCCTGCTCAACCAACATTGGCTTTTGTCATCCGAATTAAAGGGTAGGGGGGTTTTTTTTTTTTTTTTTCAAATCTCTATGCGAATTATTATTATTCCAGATAGACAAAATTCAAATACTATGACAAATGACTTTTAAAGTATCAACCATATCCCACCAAAACCTCGCAAGATTCTTCAGCTCTTGCGTCTCATTCAAATCAACAACGGAGTGTTTGTCCGATTGACCAAGGCAACCAAGCAAATGCTTCAATTGGTTACACCATATGTTGCATACGGAAAACCTAATTTGAAGTAAATATACAGTATATTTATACGCATATTTGACCTTTGTTAATTTGATCCCTCCATTAACCATATTCATGTTTGTGTGAAAAAGATCCGTTCACGAACTCATTTACAAGCGCGGTTACGCAAAAGTAAACAACCAACGCATTCCTATAAATGATAACTCTATTATTGAGAAACATTTGGGCACTTATGGTATTATCTGCATCGAAGATTTAGTTCATGAGATCTACACGGTTGGACCAAATGTAAGTCCGGTCAGATGAATTCGTTCAGAATCAATGATGAACACACGTGTTAACATTTCTTTCATATTCCATTAACGTTACATTGGTACAAGTTCAAACAAGCCAACAATTTCCTTTGGCCTTTCAAGCTATCCAATCCTAATGGTGGCTGGTCTACCAGGAAATTTAGGCATTATGTTGAAGGTGGTGATTTTGGTGACCGGGAGGATAAAATTAATGAGTTGATCCGCAAAATGAATTAACCTCAGATGAATAAAAAAATATGTCAGTCATTTTGTCAATTGATTTATTGAAATAAAATAAAATTAAATGTGTAACGTTGGAAGATCCTTATTCGATTGGTTATTCTTAACACGTGCGATCAAAAAAAAAAAAAAAAAAATTTGTACATTGTTTCACGAATAGCATATGCTACCCGGAATTAGTCGGATGGAATGTACGCGTTACTCATAAATAGGGATCGAAATATTTTTTTCAATTCTCTGAACCGTCCATCATGTCAAGTCAACCTATCGAGTTATATAGCGGAAAATATTACATTACATGCGCATTTGGAGGTGTACTAGCATGTGGGTTAACTCATACCTTTGTCACGCCTCTTGACCTTGTGAAATGCCGTAGACAGGTATGTGAATGAAGGTGCGGCTGAAATGTGCAAAGCAATTGCTGGGAGTGCATAGTAAAAATTTTTGCGGAATTGATAATGTTGCTTCCGGATTCGCTTAATTTGACATTTAATTTTCTCGAATTTATTTATTTTTTCTTTTTCTTTTTTTCTTTTTCTTTTTCTTCCAAGGTCAATCCTACTATTTATAAGGGAAATTTCGATGGATGGGCAAAGATCTATCGTGGCGAAGGATTTCGCGGATTATATACAGGATGGGTCCCTACTCTTGTCGGATATTCTTTCCAGGGAGCTGCAAAGTACGGTTTCTATGAGATCTTTAAGAAAACTTACTCTGATTTAGCCGGCGAGGAGAACGCTCACAAATATCGAACTACTCTCTACTTGAGCGCGAGTGCTAGGTAAGCAGGACATTATTTGGTAATGGAAAATTGCTAAATTTTTATATGAATGCGCCAAAAAAACTAAATCTCCAACAATTAAATAGTGCCGAGATTCTTGCCGATATCGCCTTGTGTCCATGGGAAGCGTTAAAGGTTAGAATGCAAACGTCTACCGAACCGTTCGCAAAAAGTACGTCAGAAGGTTTCAGCAAGATTTTGAAAAACGAGGGTGTGAGCGGGTCAGTCTAGATTATCGATTGATGTCTTTGTTAACTTTCCAGAATGGATTCATTCAGACCAAGTTCATTACGTTAAAAAAAAAATAGCTTCTACAAAGGTCTCACCCCACTTTGGGCCAGACAGGTTCCCTACACTATGATGAAATTTGCTAGTTTCGAAAGAACTGTCGGTTCGTATTTTTTGTTTACTTCACGCATTGAGCATTGAACGTGAATGAAAAGATAATGATCGAGGATTGACGTGAGTTGTTTTCCATGTTTAATCCAGAATATATCTATAAAACTGTCGGAAAACCCAAGGAAGAATATAATAAGCTTGAACAATTGGGTGTTTCTTTCCTCGGTGGTTACATCGCTGGTGTATTTTGTGCTATTGTCAGTCATCCTGCTGACACCATGGTATCAAAGGTAAGATTATTTCTTGATCAATCAGGCACCACCAAGATTTAATACTAACATTGCTATTTAATTTCAGCTGAATAATATCAAGAAAGCTGAGGGAGAATCAACCGCCGCTCTGTCCCTGAAGATTCTTAAAGACCTTGGTCCCCTTGGAATTTGGCGAGGTCTTGGTACTCGTGTCATTATGATCGGTACATTGACTGCCTTGCAATGGCTCATCTATGATTACATTAAAGTGTTCTCGGGATTACCAACAACCGGATCAGAGAAAAAAAAATAGAAATTCGTAATTATCGAATGGGCCCAGAAATTTGGAGTCAAGTTGGATTTAGAGGTGTTCGAAAGTCTGGGCATTACTTGGCTGAAGCTCAGGATGACATCTATTGGATCCTTCTATCTCACGGATTAGAATTTAATGATGCGGTCGATGAAGTTCTTGAAACTTTAGAATCCGAATTATATTTTTGGTAAACGAAAACATGGCTTGATCATAAAATAAAATATAGAAAGACACATACATATCTATTTTTTTTATAAAGTTGAGAATGTTGTGATTGGATTATCGCGTCGCAATTGTTACCAAACAATGCTTGACCAATAGAATTGAGGGCTCAGAGTAATGATCTACATATTATTCATTTTAACCTCAGGGAGTAAAGGTTTTTTTAATTAAATATCCATAATAGGATACTTTAAGGATGTAAAAATGTTGTATATAAACGACATGTCAAGATTGTGTAATCGACTTTTTTTTTTTTTTCTTTTTTCCCTCGTCACATATCGGATATAAAATTCTGTTGCACTGTTGCACCGTTGAATATTTAATAGCACTTCTAAAAAAAAAAATAATTAAAAATAATTAAAAACCGGGAATGAACTCAAACGAACCTCATGACCAAAATGATGTTACTTCGAATGATCGACATCCAAATATCGCATCGACGACGACGACAAGAAAGGGAAAACGGGTGAAAAAAATAAAACGATTCTTGCGGAATAACTGTAATAAATCACGAATAATACTCTTCCATCTATTCATCTTAATGATCGCGGCAATCATCGTGATCATAATATTTTTATTGAATAATCCTTCCATATTCATTAGACCACATTGTAAAGCTCCGTTTGGCGCAGCATCGTTAAATTCGACGTTTAATACTTTGGGTCAACTAGAAACGGGGATGAGTTATAACAGTAATAACGAATATAATGTAGTGAATTCCCTGGGATTCACGGGAAAATATCAATTCACCGAACAGACGCTAAAAGATTTAGGTTATTATACACCCAAAGACAATGTTTACTATAAGAACGGTAGCGATAAAAATAATTGGGCTGGAAAATTTACCGGGAAAAATGGGTGCAACAGTTATCAGGACTTTTTGGACAATAAATTTAATGTTCAGGAAATTGCTATTCGGGAAGAATTTCAAATGGACCTGAGAATAATAAATGATACACTACCACAAAATCAATCTTTGGACAGTTTTCTGAATAAACCGCTAAAATTTACTGGGTGTAACATAAGTGCTGGCGGAGTTTCGTTGAATAATATTACATTGGCTGGAATATTGGCTGTAGCACACCTGATAGGAGCCGCTAATGCTGCTCAAGCGTTAGTGAGTGGAAATTCACCTTGCGATGATATGGGCACAAGTATAACAAAATATTTAACGGACTTTAGTGAATGCGATTTTCCCGCCGAGCAAGTCACCGATGCTGTCAATTCATTCGAGAATAATTCATAACATTCATAGATTGATAGTTTATTATGTATGTTATCAAAAATCTTGGAGTTAAATAATTCATGTCGTTTTGAGGTTCTGTTACCAGACAATCAGACTAAATAAAAATCGTTTTGATATACGTGAGCCTTTTTCTGAAATTATTGATATCCGCCGATAATAATCTACACAATTGTTTTTGTTTTTCTTTTTTTCTCCTAAAAAAAGTCAATCTATTATTATTTCTTCCTTATTATTATGACTAGAAAGTCACCATATTTTTACATTAGAAAAGAAGGGATTGTGACCAAGTCTCAATTATATGCGTGTAGTCCCGATATGATAATCTGGTAACGGAAATTATCGCACATGGTGGAGACAGATAATCGCGCTATTTTGTTTCCCACAAGTTGAATCCATATGATGCAAATTGGAAATAACGCTTATGATTGGAGCTTTACATATTCCTCAAGAAAATATTCCTTTCGATGTTCATTCAGATAGCTATATCGTATATATTCAATTCGAGATTAGACAAAGGTTTAAAAAAAAAAAATGGTAAAAGTAAAACAGAACTTCATACTTTATTAAATCCGTCAAATGATCCTTCAGCACATTCAAAGTCTCTTGTCCTAAATTAGTGCTTGACACTAGTTGCGGAAAAGCGACTATGGCGTACCCGAAAATTCAGTTTTTCGATATAATACTTTCATCGAAAGAGATGCATCTGTTACATACCAAACAATCTTAACAAATGCTCTGCTCCAAAAATCTGTGAATTTTCGTAGTGATCGAGCTTATGTCGAACTTCTCGATACTGTGGTCTTTCCAGTTGGTACAAAAGTCGAGTGCCGATGCATTTGTTGAAATAAAAGAGTACACCTTTGAGAACTTCCTCAGCGATCCCATCTCTAGATGTTAAGATATGATCAATAATGTGCCGATTCTTGTAAATCAACCGCAGAATACTCACAGACTATCCTGATTCCCATTATTCTCCTTCCGCCACCGTCTATAATTCTCAATGATGTCTCCCACATGGGGTTTTCGCGGCAATGGAACATTCTATAATAAATACAGTAAAATATTCATTCACCATCATCGTATCTCCCGAGGTCAAATACTAAGAATTTTTGTAAATACCATATGTGACTTATTGATATTTTCCCAATCCTGCACCAAGAGAGCTCTCAGAGGTTCAGGCATGTTAAATATAATCTTTGGTCTTTTAACTAAGTCATCCTATTATTGAAAATTTTGTAATGATCTCCAATAAATATCGTAATGAATCGAACAAACTAATCTCGACACAGTCCATCTACAAACTTTGTCAATCGAACGATCTCTCCTCCTTTTTTTCCCTTTATCGATATTAGGGTCCTGAACGGTTTTTTTCACTGACGGTTTGTTCTTCTTATTCATCGTTTCTTCAATCATCTTTTGTTTATTTAAATTTGCCTCGTTAAACTTTAAAACTCTCGGTTCCTCAACCCACTCATCCCACCTTCGTGCAAATTGTCGACGAATTTTCAAAGTTAGTTTTGCTTAACGGCTCATTATGATGAAATAATGAACTATAATCGGTCTTACGTATTTTTCCATCCTTTATAATGTATCAAATAATGTGGTCCAGTTAACCCCGATTTTGGATGTTTAGTATCAAAGGTGTCAAATTGTAATACCTGGAAGATTATCGATGATGAGATATTATTGTCTTGTATTTTTCTCAGACATAGCTATAGACAGAAAACTCCTTCCTAATCAACCTTGGCTTCGTAAATCATAGGTCCGTGATAACAAAGAATTCTTTCGCCTTCTTTAAAGAGATATTCTCGGTTCTGTGTCATATCGTTAACTGATCTATTTCAAACAAACGAAAATAAAGAGTGTATAATTGATCTATAAATCCCATGATGTCGAATCCAAGTCATATGTCATTTAGCGAATGTATTATTGATCAGGATTTTTCTAGAAATGATCAGCGGGATATTATATTTGTGAAAATATTATACATCTGCACTTCTCTAAATGCTTAGCGTCAACAATTTTTTTTTTTTAAAAATGCATTTAAAGGAGTTAATGGTAATTTCAAACTTTAAATAAATTTTTTTAAATGTGAATCAATTTTAAATGTATCATAGACTGTGTGATATTATGATCTAATATAATTCATGAGACGTGTCATAACCTAATATAATTATGACAAAAAAACTAGCTAAATATTGAGGTTTTTTTTTAAAAAAAATTATTTACTATACAGCGGTGATACAATTTTTTTTGAATAATAAAATTAGTTAAATAATATTATAAAAAATTAATTAATAATAATTTTATTAATAAAATAATTTTGTAAAAAATATTTGCAACATTTAAAAATATAAAGAAAAATTATTTTTTTATTTTCTGATCAGTTTTTATATATAATTATATATATATAATTTTGTATCTTATAACAAACTTGTTTCTAAAATATTAAAGAATATATATATCAAATTTTATATAATTTAAATCAATAATTCTAAAATTATAATCAAAATTATAATTGTTATTTCTTATAAACATTCTTATATATTAATAAAACTTTAAAAAATAATTAATTTTGATTTTTTATAAATCTTAGCTTTATTATAATAAATATTAAAAACAAGCTAACTTTTTTTTTATTATATATTATAGTAATTAAAAAAATTTGTGCTTCTTTTAAAAATTTGATTTTATTGTATTAATCCAAAAATTTTAATATTAATAATTTATTACAACTTATAAATTATTTATTTATTCAAATTTGTTTAATTACAAAATTAAAAGTTAAATAAAAATCAAAATTGCAAATTACTTTTTTTAAAAAAATTTTAAATAAAAATAAAAATAATATAATAATTATATAGTAAGTTTTTTTTTATTAATAATAAATTTTAAATATATTTTAATAAAATAGTTAATAAAAAATTAAATATTAAAGTTTTTTTTAAAAAAAAAATATGTAAATATTGTTGTTTTATTTTTTTTTATTTTTTTTTTTTTAAAGTAGATAAACATCAATTCTTTATTTATTCATATATTACAAGGTATACATTACAAAAGAATCAACA